AGCAATAGACAATAGTTAGTAAAGAAATAAATATTTATAATTGTTTAATTTTTGTTGCAGTTTCATATGTATATTTAATTGAATTTACACAAGGGGTTTTTAATCAATTTTTGTATTTTTATATGTTAAAAAATAATTATGTAACATAAAAAGTATCATTGAAGATACAGTAATTATTACACCAATTAAGAAGTTGTATGTTCTTGCCTACATAATATATTCATAAATTTTCACAAATATACAATGCACATTATTATCATAAGCTATACTTCAATGCAATTGTTTCTCCAGTAAGGAATGGAAGAATATTATTCTGCCTAAATCATTCCAAGTGTCTTTGCGTTAATTGACTAAAATTCTGAAGAAGTTATGTAGTAATGAAATTTGTATTCGCCTTCATTAATTATTAATTCGTTTCTGTATAAGTAGAGGATTCAAGTTAAATTTCAAGTTGATCTGCAATTTGTTGAACATTCGTGTATCTTTTTATCTAATCAGTCTTTATAAAACTTGTTATAGAATCCCACGCAACATAGCTTTTACATAACTCTTAAAGCATCTATGAACTTATATACTAGTTAGCACGGGAAAAGCTCTTTGATTATTTTTTCTAAACAGTATTCGTATTTTTCAATTTTATTACAAGCAAGGCAATTAAATACTAATATACAAGGAATTTAAGAACTCAAGTGAATACTTTCTTGTAAAAATTACACACATTATTTGTCATTGAATTGAATTGTCATTAAATTGTCATTAAATTGTCATTAAGTGTCATTTCTGAAATGTACAATCTATTATTGAATTGAATAATTTTAGTTTTTGAAATTAGATTCAACTTTTTTTTTATATTCGAGCATAAAAGAGCAAAAGATTTGGTACAATCGAAGAGAACTCACAGTCAGTCTCATCAAGTGAGAATATTCTGCTTGCCATTTGCATTTTTTAAATATCATGTAATGTATTCTTAAGCTTAAAGTAGTATACTTATATAATACATACAATATATATAAATCAACAAATTGTCTGTACTTGATCAATA